CGGATAAATTTTGAATTACTTTTGCTTTTTTTTGTAGTATTATATAACGAAATTCCAAAAGCACGAAACTCATGATATGAGCGTGTCAATTCCTATGTCACACGCATTTTTTAGAAAAGATTTTTGGCGATCTCACGGCTGCAGATGTGTTAAATGAGTGAGTGCTTTTTTGGAGTTTCCTTCTTTTTTTTGGCCTGCATCTATTGTTTTTTAGCGCATCGCTGCTGTCACCAGTCACTCCGATAACCTCGTGCGCGATTGAATGCGATGCGTTATCGTCAGATATCATGAACAAGCTGCTACATTCAGCAAATGGTACTCAACTACTCAATTAATATCCTTACCGCTTCTGAACTTTGCTATAGTTCATTCATGCAATCCCGGCTTGGAATATATATGGCGTGAGGAAGCAGCACGATGTGCAGCGCAAGGACGACAGCTAGAAGATACATTCAACAACTGTAAGTGTATGCACTGCACGAAAAATGGCCTTGTTTCGTTATAATACGAGTCAGTAAAAATTATTACGTTTGATTCTGTTCTATAAAATAGCAGCAGAGTGAACCCCTATAAATTCATGACGTTTTCTTTCAATCATATCTTCTTTCTGTTGTAAAAGCAGATTCTAACGTGCACTTATTATGAAAGACTGAGAACTGTTGTTAGGAGTGAAATAAAGAGGCAAACAACTGAGTTAGAAAACTTACCTCTACGGTTAGTAAATTCTTCCAATCCTATAAATACTATTATTATTGTGAACAGCACTCATATTTGTAGATACCCCCAGACCGTATTGGCAGAACAAATTGGAGACGGATTTGTTGAATCGAATAGAGGATGTCGCACGAACACTTAGAGCTGACGGAGGTGCGACTCAACAAGAGTCATTGGCGACGCAGCCGATAAATGGTGAGCTATTTGGAAGCGCAGAGAGCATAGAATTTCACTCCAATAGTGTTTGCCCATTGCTGGACTTTTTTCTTACTCCAAAATATCTGGAAAAATACAACTTGGCAAGTTACTGCCCTATACATGGTTATCCTAAAGGCTCAAATGATCGCAGATACGACGATTCAAGCGCAGTTAATAACCCCGGATTTGTTAATGTATTATATCAATAGTGACGTTTTTATTTTCTATTTCACAAACTATGTCTGAGTATTTAACCCACCACAATTCAGTTTCTACATTTTCATAGTTAAAAGTCGGCAACTGGTAAAATGGAAGGAATTAGTGCGAGCAGAAGCACAAATGTCTTTTCTCAAAATCCCAACCTATCCAGATATATTAGCATTGAATTGTTATAAAATATTGGAAGAGAGAGGACATGAAAGTAAGGAAATAGTAGCAACTTGCCTATTTTTTATTATCATTACGATTTACAAAATTTTCTTCTGTTTTTTCTTACTTCGACTACTAACCCAAAGGCGTTTTATATATGGTACTGCAATGTATAAACATAATATAATGTATGGAAGCTCACAAATAGTGATTAAGTTTCAGTGCGGTTGCAATTAGGCTCTACAGTTCATAGAAGGTCTTTCATTTGCGTCAACTGTTTCTAGATCCTATTGTTCCCGAGCACCTTGTGATAGAAGACGATCCAAAATTGGATTCTACCATAGCGTGGACGCAGGACGTAACGGAAATCGAAGCACCGCTTGAAGATGCTGTAGCGGAAGAGGAGCCGAAAGAAGAAGAAGCTCAAGAAGGAAGCGATGAAGATGATAA